AAAAATAGTAGTAAACAGTTGACTATTATCCACCAACAGTAACCGGAGCAATTAACAGTTGAGTGCTAAAATATTCGGCAACTTTCCAGCCAGCCAAGGGTTTGGAATTAACCTCGCATCATCGCCATGCCGATCCACCAGTTGTCCTCCTTCTATCAGTAGCCGCCTCCAGTAGTTCACCAATGATGGGAGGGGTTGAGCAAAGGCCAAGCATCCACGAAACGCAGTGGGATCAGTACCAACACACTGCGAAAAGCCAACAATCTCACATTTAAAGTCAAATCACAAATTCTAATTAAGAAGAACCCAGTTTTTGGCAGATATAATTTTACATGCAGCTAAGGATACATACATGTATAATAACCTAGTATGTATAGGAATTCATAAACAAATGGTCTTAGAAATCACAACAGCCATTTCAAGAGTAGAAAATGTGATTTTTTTTTTGTTTGGGAGAAAAGCAACAAAAGTAGAAGAAGTTGGTTGGAGACCTACAATGACAGTCTCTACCAAGATATAGAGACCAGCAACACAACTGGCCTGCACAGGGTGCTCATGAAGAACTATAAGCTCCAACGCAACAGAACCAGAATAAATCCATATGGATTCAACCACAACACCAAAATCCTCAACAAGTTGCATGAATCATAAATAAAGAAAAAAGGAACTTCTAAGGATATCATAAATAATATTATTCGTCTTTGACTCCTTTCATTTTATTTTTGCTCATTATACATGGAAATACTATATAATTAAAGCTAATCCTTCCTTCCCAAATCCAATCGCTTCATTTTTCTCCTAAAAAATGAATTAAACAACAAACATCTTTTCTTTTCTTCTCTTCCTTTATAGTCAATTACAATTTATTAGCCTTCTACATAAATGAAATCTTTTATTTGCTCGGACAACAAAGCACAAATCAATCTTGAAGAGAGATACTATGAAAGTCAAGATGACTATGAGTACCATTAATAAGATAAGCCTAATCAAAATATTACAAGAGAACATGAAAGCAATTGAGTTTACGAGCATTGATAAAGCAATTGAGTTTAGATAAAGCAATTGATTGATGAATTATTAAAACTCAGTCTGACAGAGAAAACTGATTAAATGCCTCGATACATTGGCTGTGACATAGAAGAAGATGAAGAGAATAAATGCAAGCAGAGTTAGGAAAATCCAAAGCAAAAGCCAATCGAAGAAGAAGATGGAGAGAATAAATGCAGTTAGAGATGGGGAAATCCAAAATAAGAGCCAATCCAAGGTTTGATTATGCTCCAAAAATCTCAAAAATCTAAGAGAAGCAATCACAACACGAATCACAGAAAATGCCTAAAACATCTCAGTACATGGGGACGTAACATAAAAGAAAATGAGGAGAATAAAAGCAAACACGGCTAGGAAAACCCAAAGCAAAAGTCAACCAGGGTTTGATTATACTCCAAAAATCTCATAAATCCAAGAGAAGCAATCACAACATCAAGAACCACGATCATAGTACATTTTAATCTCCATATTGCCTACAGAAACATAATATTACTTTAGACCCAAATTTGTAGATACAAAACAAAAATCAAAACAACAAAAGAGTATTTTTTAGTGGTACAGTTATAAGACCAAAAAAAATTCACGTTAATGAGATAACAAGAAAAACTAGGAAAATTTATCGATTTGATGATGAATTTGGTAGGTAGTAATAATACTAGCTAGTATGAGTGAGTGTACTTGTGTGTGAGTTGGAATATGTGAGTCTACGATAGGTGTATGGGCATAGATTTGTTTGATGTCAACCGTTGATCGGGAAGCTTTAAGATCATGAGGCTGTTTTTTCTGTTAATTCTTTCTCTTTAGGGGCCTCTTTTGTTTTTCCCATCCCTTTCATGGATTTTTGTGTCCTTTCACCTAATTTGCATAGATTTTTTGAGCATTTCATTCGTTTTTTCTTGTGCCCCAATTATATGAGCGCATATTCATCATGCTATTAAAAGTAGAAAATACATGTGAACAATACCATAAGTTTTAGGGATAATTATAGAAATTTCTCTTGAGGTTTTTAATAATTTCATCTAGTACCCTCTTGTTTTAAATATTACACTTATCTTCTCTATTACTGGCAAATTATCACACTAAGCCTCACTTAAGACTCAGTTTACACTAAGCCTCTTGTTTTGAAGCTTTTTCTTTTCTTTCTTTTTTCTTTTAGTGCCTTATTGTCTTGTATAGTCTTCTTTTCTAATCAATAAAAAAGTTAATTATTGCTCAAAACAAAAAAGAAAGTTTAAGTACCATGCAAATTTATTCATTACATTTTGTTTTTCTTTTTTTTTTTCTTTCTCTTCTGATTTTTGGCTAGTAGCTTGTGATTATTGTGGTGGTAATACAGATGGCAAAAATGGGTATTATGGTGTTGGTGGTGGTAATAGTTCTAACATTTAAACGAAAGGCATTGAGGTAGTTCTTCTCTTCTCTTCTCTTCCTTTGTGTAGCAAAACCGTACTTGAAATTTGAGCTATTCATAGGGTTGTTACCCAAACAACAATAATAGGGAAGGTAATTCTAATATTCAAAATTGAAGGGGTGTTATGCAAAATTCACATAAACATTAAGGGAAGTTTCTAAAATCATCACTTAAAAAATTTTGAAGCACACTATTGCATTTGAGAAGTTATGTTTTTGGAAATATGAAAACAGATTCATCCAATAACCTTAAACACTTGAATTCTCATTTTGGTTTCTAAATTGTAAGTTGGGATACTTTAGTTTCTAAACTATTTCTTGATTTCCTTTTGGTCCCTAAACTATAAATTAGGGCATTTTAGTCTCTAAATTATGCTCCAATTCTTATTTTGATTCCTAAACTCCTTTTTTCTTTCTAAATTTGGAATTCTTTTTTTTTTGCTACAGTTGCTTCTCACTTGACTAGTCTTCCATTAATTTTGGGTATTTCATTAGTGATTGTACTTAAATGGCACGAGTTTTACAGTTTAGAGACTAAAATGCCTAAATGTATAGTTTAGGAATTGAAGTGAGCATTGGGGTATAGTTAAAGGGTGCAAAATAAAATTTATCCCTTATTATTGGGTACAAATGAATATGCAAGTAAGACACTGAATAAGAAAATCTAGTGCGGGTTAGAATGATAAATATTAGTATCTCAGTTAAAGGCAAGCTTCTTCCAGGGGAACATTCTTACGTTGGGCCGAGGACCCTGCCGCTGAATTGTGACACAAAGCATGCGTAAGGCCATAGCCGAGTATCTATTGCCACATCCACAAACATTTTTTGCACGAGCTCAAACCCATTGCCGACAATTTCAATCAAAAGAACTGGAAGCATACATAGAAGTAATAAAGATTGAAACAACTCAACTAATATCATAAAATTAAGCAAGCAGAAGGAAATTATAACTGATTCTAATTATCATCGTGCCATGTATTAATGAATTTTAATAGACACAGCAATGCCAAGACGAAGTTATATCAAAGAATAACACTATGACATCAATCCTTTTCTTTTTTTTTCTCTCTTTTTTTGGTCAACTGTTAAGCTTTTATCTGTAGGTTCAAGGGACAATTACAAAAGTAATCAATGAACTGAAAACTGTCCAAGTATCATTTTATGCTGCTTTTGTTAACCTACAATGAGAGCACTACGTATCATTATATCACTTAGAGTCCCTTCTTCCGTGATGAACTGTTGGCACCCGTCCTACATTTTGTCTCTGGGGACCGAGGAGAAAGGAGGCTCGGCGGGAAGAGGGGTGTGCCATGAGAGAAGCAAGGGTGCGTTTAATAAAACTGAAATTTGAAAATTGAAGTGTGAAATCTGAAATTTGAAATTTGAATCAATTAAATTATTAAATATTAAATCTAATACATTTGAGTGCATATTACATTCAATAATAAGTGAATAGTTTATCATTTAATGCTGTCGTCGTGTCGAGTGAACTGAAAACTGTCGAGTATCATTTTATGCTGCTTTTATTAAGCTACAGTGAGAGCACTGTAGGAAAACTACGTACCATTATATCACTTAGAGTGAGTTTAATAAAACTGAAATCTGAAAATTGAAGTATGAAATCTGAAATTTGAAATTTGAATCCATTAAATTATTGAATTGTTAAATATTTAGTTTAATACATTTGAGTGTATATCACATTCAGTATAAAGTAAATAGTTTATTATTTAATTTTGGGAGCAAATTTTGTTTAGAAAATTCAGTGCCACTTAATTAATTCAAATGTTCAATTTTTGGTTATCAAACTGAATATGTTAAGATCTGAATCCATTAAATTTAAGTGCTAAATTGAGTTATCAAACAGGGTCTTAGTTTCATTAATAAGGTGAATAACTACCTCAAAAAAAAAAAAGGTTAATAAGTAATTTAGCCAAATCATGACTATAGAAATTCTTACCCTTTTAACAAAAGAGAACGTACAAAGCCAAAAGGACTTGTGCAAAAGTTTGATGGTCTTCAATTATAACATTAATGGTATACAATAGACATATCACTAATGCCTTTGTTTCTCTTGTCAATCACCAATTTACAATCAGATAGCATTTTTTCAACCCATACCTACATAAAATACATGCATTAAACCATAAAGCAACAAAATAGCTCATCTTCCCAAAATCAAATCAAATTCTTACCTCGGCTCACAAATAGCTAGCTCATCTTCCCGATTTATTTCCACATCCCAGCCCAATTAGAAAACCTCTAAGGTTTGAAGGCCGGCCCAATAATTTAAAAAAAAAAACCACACCCACAAAAATAAATAAATAAATAAAAGCAATCAAAAATTTTTTTCTCCTCTATCTTTGTTGGCTAAATCCAGTATAATTTTTCTGCAAAAAAAAAAAAAAAACCCAGTATAAATTTATGAAATTTCCAGACCAGCCTAATAGGAGAGGTCCACTACTGGAATATACTTGTATGTTTTTAGGCCTTGCCCATTATTGTAAATTAACTGCAAAGATAAGACTAATAATCAGTCACATACTACAACATAAAAGACAAATTTTAAAATAAAAATAGAGAATCGTAACCACTCCAATAATAAGATAAGAATAAGATGATGAAAACTTAGCAGTGGCGAAAGCGGCTGTGCAAAGCCAATGGGCATACTGAAAGCGGTGGCTGTAATCTCCGGCGGTGACACCAACAACAACGTAAGGGGCTCTATCCAATTCCTCCAAGACTTCAATGGTATCCCCCCCCCCTCTCTCTCTGTGCCTCTTCTTCTTCACTTTCAGAATCTATTAAGTACAGTAGTATTATTCTGTCTACATAGCCTCAGTTGATTGATTGATTATATGTAAGTCGTAACTAAACCATGAAGCAGGGGGCGCGGCGACCCTTGTGAAAGGAAGAATAACAGGCCTGACTCCAGGCCTCCATGGCTTCCATATTCATGCTCTTGGTGACACCACCAATGGCTGCAATTCCACTGGTACGTACCACTCCCTTCTTACTATGCTACTGCTATCTCCCCTCTCCCCCTATTTCACTATCTCCTTATATGGGTCCCCACCCCCTAATTCAAACGGGGCGTATGCAATATATGTAGAAGAGTTGAATACTTCGTTTGTCTAAAGCTAATTTCTGATTTGAAGTTAAACCATCTGATTTTTCACATGTTACTCTGCAGCTTTAGTTCATTTTATTATGAAAGACTGCACCTTTCTCTCTCTTTTTTTTTTTCGGTAGCTAAATATATTTACTCAGCATTCCTGCATAGCATATAGGATTAAGTTGTGTAGAGTAGCTAAGCCTTAGGTACAGTGTGAGGCAGTCACCTGGGATATCTGAAATGGTTGCTTTCCCCCTTATTGCTGAGGATTCCCAGCCTTTCTTAATTTCACAAAAAGTTGTCTTGAAAATCTGACCATTTTGTGCTCAAGTTCCAAGGTTTTTAATTTGGGCCCTTGCTCCCGGATATGTTTACAGAATAAGGTTCTCATTCTGCAAGGTTCTACGTGTGATAACGATATTATAGGTGACAAAAGATTCATGGGATTAAGGGCCTGGAATAAGTTTGCTTCAGAGATTTGTAATAAGTTTTTCTTCTGTTGCTCTTACGTTTCAAAGAGCCATAATACTTGATTGAGAGAAAGGACAAACAGATACACTGTTTAGAAGGATGCTTAGTCACCCCCAAATAAAGGTATCCTTTCTATTAATTAGTTATGTTTGAGGCTGTTGGCGCAGTTGGCTTGACAAGGAGTATGGTTGCTTTGTGACTGAATATGTAGTGTATGAGTTTAGAATTCTCCTGTTTTATGTATGGCTATCTTTTTGTGCAACTAAAGCTGCTAAATAACCAGAAAGAGATGTAATGTGGAGCTGGTTATTATGTTCTCTCATCAGGTTTGTTTAGCTGCTAAATAGCGACTCTTTAAAAGTCTGATATCTGCCCATTTTGTAATGTCAGGGCCTCATTTTAACCCACTGAAAAAGGATCATGGAGCACCATCTGATCAAAATCGTCATGCCGGTGATTTGGGGAATATTATTGCTGGTGCAGATGGTGTGTCATGAAAGACTTGTATCTTTGGAAATGGTATTAGCTAGTCAAACAGGTTTCCTTTTCTTTCTTTCTTTTTTTAAATTTATTTTCTTGCTTTGCAGGGGTTGCTGAGATCTCAATCAAAGACATTCAGGTATAGTATTAGCAAGTTGTTCTGCTGTTTAACAAAATATGAACTTGTTTCCTTTATCTATCTTTAGATATCTGTGGCTCATCTCCTAGTTTTCAAGTGATGCTAAGAGTTGAAATGTATCAGTTAACTTACATAGTGAGGTCTTATTGATGTTAAGTAGGGAACTTGTCATATAATCCTTTAAAAGCAATGTATAAGAAATGGTTGTCTCTAGTTCAGGATTGTTCTCTTTTTTTCTTTTGTCCTTTAATTTTAATATCTTTTAGCTTTTCTTGTTGATAGATTCCACTTAGTGGTCCACACTCCATCTTGGGGCGGGGGGTTGTTGTGCATGCTGATCCGGATGATCTGGGAAAAGGTATGTTTATTTGGATTAGGGTGTAGAAGGTGATAACTTAATGATTAAACACTAAATAGTAGTTTTGCAGTTCTCTGTTAACTGTGAAAGATGAATCTCCCTTGCAGTTCTTCTTGTTGAAAAATTTGATCTGCTGATAAAAGTATAAAACTTTTGCTATTGAAGTGTCTATGTCTTTCAGTCCTTGTCACAAGTTAATTAATATGTGATAGTTTCAGTTCATTGGATTCAGTAAAAAAGGTTTATTTACAACTTGGAATTATTGTGTTGTAGCTAATAATTGAAGCATACAACAGGTGGACATGAACTTAGCAGGACTACTGGAAATGCTGGTGCGAGGGTTGGTTGTGGTAATTGCACTTGCTCCTCCCATTTTTCTACTAGCTTTTTTTACCTTGTATCATCAAATTCTCTTCCCCCCCCCCCCCCCCCTGCAGTTTTCTCTGAGCCAGTCATTCTTTCCTCCGCGTGTATGGTATGGTGGCTCAAAATTTGATTTTATGCTGTGCAGGGATTATTGGGATTCAGTCATCGGTCTAGGATGGATTCCTTGCATTCAACAATAACAATAGAGTTGCTTGTTTTGTAATTTTCGCATGTAGTGTGAGAAGTAAATGGTACAATAGTTATCTATGCTCGCTCCGCATTTGCCCAAGCGGTCATCCTTTCCGTTTCTGAAGATGTTATAGAGCTGCTTGATTGTTCAATTCATTGGTCCATCCAAATGGGAAAAATAATAACAGGAATTGTAATTAACCCTTCAAAATAGTTTTTGGCAAACTTATGATTTTACTAGCTATTGTTATTCTCCAGTGTATTCGTGAACACACAACCAAAGGCAATTTGGAGATAAATGCTTTCAAAGAACTGCTACTTCTGCACCTTGAGGAATGATGCCATGCTGTGTGTAATGTCACATTAGCTGCTGTGTCAATAGTCAATAGTAATGGGACCACGGGCAGGAACGGTTGCAGGTGCAATCGTTCCTCGCAGTTTTGTGTATTTTACATATCGCATAACTTTGTTTGCACACGGTGTAATTTTATTTGCATAACGTGTAATTTTAGAACAAATTTTTGTGGGTTTCATACACGTTAAAAATGAAATACAAGAAGTGATCTGAATCGTATAATTGTTTTGGGTCAAATCCTGACAGTCTGTTCAGGGACGGTCCGTCTCGATAGTAATGCTTGATAATGGAAGCTAGACTGGCTCCCATTTTGAGTGACTGGACAACGGAAGGTAGAGCTTGTTTGGATTGGTATGTTTTAGAGTTTTTGTGAAAAAAAAAGATATATTATAATAATTTGAATTCGATATATATGAAATAAAAAAGTGATTGAAAAATGTGTTCACGAAAAAGATAAATATTTTTTTAAAAAGAAAATAACTTTCCAAACAAGATATCAAATATTTTTTTAATCAGTATGAAAAGTACCAACACCCAAGTTGCTCCAAACTTACTCCCTTGTTTTGAGTTTTCAAACTTTCAATTTCTTGCAACCCAATCTGCGGCGGGTGGCTCTGACCGCCTTCACCACATGCCTTGTAGCTCAATAATCTTTCTTTCGATGAGTTAATTATTAGGGTTAATTACATTTTGTCCTCCGAACTTGACCCTTTATAATACGTTGCTCCTCTAAACTTTAAATATATATGTTTTGCCCTCTTCATTCACTAGTCATCCAGCTAATTAAAATGTATATTCATAGCCCTTTCACCAACTTCAGTTGTTATATTCAACTAATCAATAGATTCAAGTTTCAATAACGATGATGAGATCTGTCCAAATACACCCAAAACCCAAAAAAAAATAAAAAAAATCAAATCTAACAACCAAATCTGAAATAAATTCTGATTAGACAACAAAACAAAGATAAAAACAGAAAATTCTCACTAGGAATTTCCCAGGAGAAACAAAAAATTCTCAGTAGAAATTCCCAGGAGAAACACAAAATACTCGATGATGAGTGATAAAATTGTTCAGAATTTGTGAGCCTCCCTTGTTAATTTTTTATTCCTAAAGTCAATATACGATCTACAACCTTCTTTCTCCTATGGTATCATTCATTATATTAGTGTTGTAACCATACCTTTACATTCTGATATATAGAGTATGTTTGTTTGTGTTGCAGGTCATTATGTTTCTATTAATATCAATGATATTGAGAGAAAAACCTGACGTGCTGATCAGTATATTACCTATTTTGAGGGATGACTTGAAGAAAAATGGTCAAAATAAGCTTCCAGCGTTCATATGGATGATTATGCAGGTAAATATATAAATGACAGATATATAATTTGCATTTCTTTTTCATTTCATAGTATTTTGTCAGCACAGCACCAAATGCAAAACAAAAGAAAAATAAAAAGAACTAAAATGAAAGGATGCTTTATTAGATAAAAGGATATTTGAGTCTTGATATTTTGAGCGTAAGCATTATTGTTGTCTTAGTTTTTCTTATCTCCATCGTACCCTTAGTAATTGATGATGATTGAACATTCATATTGTGCCCTTATTGTTTAATGATTATTAAAGTCACTATATCATATATGTTGGTTTAAAACTATTAATGAGAAGACAAAAGGTTAAATTGACAATTAAGTTCACTATATTTATTAACATATTGATGAAGAAAAAAATGCAAGAATGTTTCAAAAAATACTATCACAAAAATTCTACAAGTTTTGAAACTGATAAATATTTATTATATCCAAAATTTTAACTACAATTAACCTTTCACAATTGTGCTTATATTAATGCACATTTTCTCCCATCATCCTCACTTCTTAATGTCTTAAACTATGAAAAGCCATGACCAAAATATTGCTCGGAAAAGTTCTTCTCAAAATTGTCTGAAATTGTGATTTAAAAATTAGTCTTTTAAGAAATATGTTAGTGGGAAAGAAAGGACCATTGCTTTTTTTTTTTTTTTTTTAACATGGGAAGGCAATAGTCATTATAAAAACCAAAAATCAATCCCCATGATCAATCTAATAGAATGCTCCAATCTAAAACCGTCAATTAATTTTCACTATTGCTCAAACTCCTTAATGTGAAAATGGGCAATAAAATGGTGCTATTAATCATTAATTGATCCATTCATACCCCATAAAATGACTTAAATCAAGATTTGGTGAAGATTAAAGTTACAAAAAGATTTTTCAAGTTGCATTAGAAAGAAAGCTCAATTACAAAAAGGAAAACTATTGTTAGATTGGAATTGGAAATTGGTTCTTAAAGCAAATGAATACTTGGATATACTTGAAAGTGTTCCCAAAGAATGTTAAGGTATTATTTGGACTCCACCTCAAATTTTAATAGAAATATACAAGTTTAGCCCTAAAAGATTCTTATAAACTTTGCATTGATCTTCAATTGATTCTATTTAGAGTTGGAAGAAGAGATTAGGCTTATAAGATCTCTTTTGCAATAGCTAAAAATGAGCATGATATTTTTTCTAACTCTAATTTATGCACTGTTTTCATAAATTATAGAAAATTTCCTCTTCTTTCTACTGCAACTCCAGCAAAATGGACAATAACTTAGCTAAACTTCCATCTTCAAAGTTTTTATATGGTAGAATGTATGATAAGTGTTTAATTGTTTTTATAAATACATTTTGCTTAACTGCTAATTACTAAATTTTGTTAGTTATAGTTTCTTACAATGTATTATATTTACCATCAGTATCTAGTAAAGAAATTTAGTATATATAAAATGTATATCATCAAAAAATATATCCATGTGCAAAGCAGGTAGCATATTACTGGTAACTCTAAAGATGGAGAAGTAAATATTTAAAACAGTGAGGTCTATTTAATTTGTACAGCTTGTAATGTGCTGATGGTGTTTGTAGGCAAGACAAAGCTATCAGAAAAAGCAATCAACTTATTTGTCTTCAGTTTGGCTCAAAATCCTGTGTGTTATAAACGATGGGTAAGTCCCTTTCGGTATTATGCAATTTAGTTTTCATCGATTCAAGACTCATGATGATAATTATTCTTTGTTTTGAACAGGAAAGAATTTATGAACATAAGGTGGAAAAGAGTGTGCTTATCCTAGAAAGACTTGAGAAGCTATGGGTTCACCTAGGTTCTTATGACTATTTACGCGACACTCTCTGGAGTTTGATGCAAATGGTTGGTGATCTATTTCCCTTTTTCTTTGGCCATGTGGTTTGGTTGTCATTTAGAACATTATTAAGAATTTGAGGGCAAAATATTAGAATGGTTCTTTAGTTAAAAATTCAGAATAGACCTTAAAACTTTACCATACACTTCTTAGTCCCGTGAACTGTGAAGCTGGATTAGTGTGAACACAGAAAGCAAAAATAGTTCGTAAATTGTAGAGCAGTCCAATTATCATAGAATAAATTTATTGTCATCAAAATCTTTCCTAAAGTTGGCATGTTGCTGAATTCAATCCCATGCATTGGGTACTTGTCTGTAGTGGTAAAATAGTTCATAATTTAGAGTAGCAAGTGTTTGCGGTTTAATTGTATTAAGAGCTTCATAAAATTGACTCGTGAAACTGTTAGTTGAAGCCTTGACAGAGCATGGGCTTTGAACACAGGCGAAGGTTTTCCAAGGGTTTCAGACGAGATTCGAAGAGCTGGAAGTTTGGGAACAGCAAGTATTTGCCAGAGGGGAAAGTCATAAACTTGTTAGACTTGGGCTTTGTATTCCATTGTCATGCATATGCTGAGAAACAAAGTTCAAAATTCGCTAGAATTATGTCATTCCCTTGGTTCTCTAACTTATAGGCCATAAGCCTGTGGGCAAGACCAATAGCTTCCTGCATGACCTTGGAGATGAATAGCGCGCAGCTCCTCTACAAGGTTGCTCATTCATTGTCATAATTTGTATAGTTGTTCAGGAGGACTATCTTGGAGGGTTGTGCTAGCTGATTTAGGACTGGAAAAGTATAAACATGAAGGGTCTGTTTGGTTGAAAGTAAAATGTTTTCCTTGGGAAGTAATTTTCCATGAAAATCATTTCTCTTTCATCATTTTCAGGTGTTTGGTTAGTTTATTGAAAATATTTTCTTACTTCATTTTTCTGGTATTTGTTTAACTTTTAAAATATTTTCACTTTTATCTCTATCTTTACTTTTTACACATTATAACTACATGCTTCTTCTCATGCAAAATAAGAAAATTTATCTCATTGTTTAACTTTAAAAAATCTTGGAGAAATGTATATATGAATAAAAAATATCTCCTTAAACAATAAACAAATTGCTGGTTATTTAGTGTCAAATATCAATCACATGCAACGCTTATTGTGACATATATCTTGCACTCTCACTACTGAAAGTTTCTCTAGAAAAGAATATCCCTATTATACATAATTAATTACTAACATAGGATGAGCAGGATGAGGTTTTTTTTTTTTTATTTTGAATATACTAAGGGGAGGTTTGGGTTGGGTTGGGTGGTACAGGGGAGGGAGTGTAAGGAAGAGGTCTTGGGTTCGAGTCCTCCTGTTTACACTTAAAAAAAAAAATACTACAAGATGTTTTCAGTAAGTTTGGAACATACTACAGGCGGGATGCATGCATTTCGGAAAACAACTTCAGTAAGTTTGGAAGGGAAGTTGTTTTTCATAAGATGAGTGAAAATATTTTACATAGGAAAATGTTTTCAGTAACTTTTGTGCAACCAAACACGGGAAATTAGGAAAATATTTTCACCCGAAACAAACGGACCGAAATGTCTTTTTTATGCTTACATCTAAAGTACAAGGATATATAAGATAAAAGTGTTCGGACTGACGGTATTCTAGCTAGTAAATTAAGGACTCCTGTGATATTCAACATTCTATTAAATAAGTTGATGTTTTACTTGATACGAGGTTGCCAACATTCTGTTAGTATATT